GCCACCCTCACCTGCTCCAGGACTGTCTGCCCATTGACTACTTCCCTTGCTGCCTTAATTTATAAAGAGGAAGCACAAACTTATTTTGTGAAGAATGTGCTTATTTTCTCTTTGCAGCATACTAAGCTTTTGCATGTGTTTCTCTGGTAACCCACTGGCTGGCCCAAAGCAGCTGGATTTTTGCTTGTTAGTATACTGGAAAGAGTTGAGTAGAGCTTTTCTTTCCCGCATGGTTTGCAAATCACGCAGTCGTGCTTCAAGTCATTGCCCATAAACCTCAAAGAGGAGAAACCTCAACTAGGCCTTTTCAAGACCATGGAGCAAATCTTAATAGATTTTAGAAGTGGGAAAGGAGTCAGCCTGGAAGAGGAAGCAGTGTTGGAGAGCAATACAACTACTGGACATTTAAAGTTATGACAAGACTGTTGCCTAACTGCTTTGGAGGGGATGTATTCCAGCTGCAATTGGCCACCCTGCATCACAGCCAGGGAATATTTATTATTTGTGGCTTAGGCTGTTAATTTTTGAGTTGGATTGTTCAAAGCGCCAGCTGCGCTTTGGATGCAATTCCTGGTAAAGGGAGACGAGTGGTTCCATGTATAAAAGATAATAACGCAGATATACGAATGTATTCCATAATCACAAGTGTGTTTACTCCAATGATTTGTTTATTTTTTAAGTGTGCTTCTTCAGAAGCACTTGGGAAAGAAGAATAGACAGACTAATGCAGTAGTCAAGAATGTGCTAATACTGGGAGAAGCAATATAAAGATATTTATGAAGCACAGGGGATTAGATTTTTCAGTTTCACTATTTCATTCTTTGCTTTTTCTTGTCTTTAACTTCCTCAAGATTAAACATTGACTGTAAACTGATTAAACATTGACTGTAAACATTGACCGGGGGAATTAACCAGTGATATTCCTCATTATCATGGTTGCTTTAAGGTCATTGCTTGAACTGATGCTGGCAGTTCTGGACACCCCTACTCCAGCTCTATATGTAGTTATTTTTCCTATGAAAGAAAACATAGGATGCTCCTGTATAAGTAGTATTGTATAGTAAAGCATGCTGGATTATTACTGTCTTCCTTCTATTTTCATAATGTAAAAAGAAAAAAAATCATGTTTTTTTCCCCTTTTTTTCTAAGAAGTATAGGAACAGCCAAGATAGAGACACATTGGTTGAAATGTTCAAAACAGTTGGGAAAGACCTTGCAGTCATTTTTTTTTTTTTTTTTTTAGGGAAAATCTGGTTTGGACATGGGTACATGTGCTGACCCAGAACCCTGAATTCTCAATGTCTGAAACTATCAGTTTAAAAAAACTCCTCTTCTCAAGTGGCAGCCTTTTATGAAGATGCAACTTTCTCCTCATCTCCTGTGGGCTGAAATTGCTTCGAAAATTTCTCTTTAACTTTCGCTAGTTAATAAATGTGCTGATAGGCATGGAATTCATTTACACAAAGATGTTTGAAAAGCCGGGCAGGAGGGAGCAGAGGCCTTGGAAGCTGCAGGGGAGCCGAGCCCTGTCCGAGCTGCGTTTCCGCGCTGAGCCTGTTGTGCTGCGTTTTCCTTGCAGTGACGTGAGGCAGCGAATCCAGCAGAGAATTGCGCAGGCGTTCGGGATCAGCCCTGCCGTGCTCTACCTGACGAAGCCGACCTTCTTCTCCAGGATAAACACCACGGAGGCCAAAACGACGCACGATGAGTACTGGCACCCCCATATTGACAAGGTGAGTGGGGGGCTGGGGCGGGAAGGCAGCGCTGCCTTTCACTGCCAGGTCCCTCTAGGTCTGGTCCCCAAAGTGTCCAGCATTAAACCAGCACAGTCAAATGTGCCTGATAGCTGGTGCTTGCAAAAGCACTTTCAGTGGGAGCCACCAAAGGGAAGAATAAACGGGCTTCTTAGGAACACAGGCCGGGATCATCCCTTATGTTTCCTTTATTTGTGTTGTGTTCTGCTGGAATTGCTGAGCAAATTGCTGCTTGGGAATCTCTGGCTTGTTAGAAATGTTGAACAAAATGACCCGCACCTACAAAATGTTGCAGTTCTGCCAAACCTGTGTTTCCAGCTAGAGCATTGCTCTTCGAGCCAACGAGTAGCAGGAGCTAATCCAAAGGCTTTAGACTTCAGTTATGTGTAACCTGTGGGTGTCATATTTGTTTTGTTTTTAACTGCGTGTTCTGCAAGGGGATAGGACACACTCTTCTAACAGCTTGGTGTTTTATTGTTTTAAGAACAGAAATACTGAGGCTTTTTCTTAAAAACCACACAGGTGGTTCTGTCTGTAGGCTCATACATTAATAGTTTTAAGTTCCTAAGTGGGTTTAACCAGTTTGGGATTGGTGTTGAATTTAACTGAGGTCAAAGGATCTGTAGATAATATCAAAACACAAAGAAAGAATGGAAAAAATCTTTTTTTTTTTTTTTAAAGTGTGCCTTTGCCAGAATTTAAGGGTTAGAATCACTTTAGATTTATGGATCGCTGAAGACAGAACCAGGTAAAACTTATTCCATCAAAATTCCTCCCTGTTGCAACCTGGGGGTTGCAGTGTACCTTGAAGTATGTGACCTGACCCCTCTACAACGCAAATGAAGAAGTATTCCTTCCTTTGAAGATGTTTCACGGTGAAAGGATCAGAGGGGAACATCACATCTGTTGTTCTTCACTGCTTCAGCACATGCTCTTGTGGTCCTCTCTTGTCCTGTTTGTTGTACAGCCTGAATTTAGAAAGCACGGAGAATTCCAAAGCTGAAATACCCGATGCAGCCTCTGCTGTGACAAAGGTGATGGCAGGGACACTGCGCAGTTGTTGATGCAGGAAAGATGAGAGCAGCTTTTGGACTCCTGTGTTTTGAAACAGCTGTGCTGCAGACACCGGATAGCCCTGGAGCCAGGGATGGAGAGGCAGGGGGTGACCTGTGGGGTGCAGAGGATGTTGACTCCTGCTAACAGGAACTGGTGGCAGAGTAAAAATTGTGCTGGCCTGGTTGATGCAACTTCCATCATGAATCACCATCGTTTAAAGGATGTTGTTTGTTTGTTATTTGGAAGCAAATCTGTTTTTCTTTTTTGTGAAGAGAACTGGTTTTCTCTGTGGAAGCTGCTTCTCTGTTACGGCATCCTGGCAGTGCCTGTACATGATGGACAGCAGCCTCGATGTTTTTCTGTTCTAACCCATCTGTTTTGTGCATATTTTGTTTATTATCTCACAGGCTGCCGGTTATGGGAGCAGATATGCCGACATCATGGCTTTGGCTTTTTATAACCAACCCGCTCCCTCCAAAAAGCTTAAGAAAGCAAAGAAATCAAATCCAAAATATGGACTTTTAAATTCACCATGCATAACCTCAATTAAAGTACCCAGGACTCAGTAGATAAGCTATTAATGAAGGCAGTGAAGACATAATGGTCTCAGTTGGGATGGTTACAAAACATCCTCTTCATAACTGTGTAGAGTTTTTTCTAAAAATTACATATGTGCAATAAAATATGAAAATGTAACAGGTGCTCAAGTGGAAGCTATTTTCTGAAAAAAATGTGGTTTAGGTTGCACAGTGCGGGTTACACCTGTAACCTGTGGTATTTATTATATATAGGTAATTCAGACCTATATATAGGTGTGTATATATATTTACGAAATATCGGTAATTCCAACTTTTTTTTTCACTTTTGTAGCAACCATCTGATTTCCGCTCACATTAAGCTCTCTGCCTTGGGAAGGCTAAAGCCTTCAGCCTATCCAAGTGCTTTTCCTCTGTGCTTTGAACTTCTCTTTCATGCAGGGAGACCAGAGACCTAGAGCCGACTTCTGAGAGCTTCTTGAGCAAGTGCCCTTGGCGCTTAGTTAGAGGAGAATGGGCTTGAGCTGTGCCAGCTATGTAGTTACTTGTAATTTAAATGATAGCAGTTTGCACTGCATGGTTGAGAAGCAGGAGTTTGAAGTGGGCTAATGGTGCTCGAAGCAGGGTCTGGTATAGCTGTGTCCTTGACTTCGTTCACTTCATGTCTGTTTGGAAAGTGCTAATTGCATCATCACGTGTCACTGCCACCGAACACTGCAGCATCAGAGGATTGACTGGAACCCCTTCCTCGCTGCACCATTTTCTGGCCAGATTCTGTTTGTGCATCAAAAGACCAGGTCTTACTTCCCTTGTGGTGCAATTGGGAGAGAGTTGTCTGTGACTGTAACATTTGGTGTGTTTACCAAATCATGTGTTACAGAAAAAGTTACATTAAGGGTGTATAGTGTATAAATATGTGTGCAAATAATTCTCATCTGCTACAACTGTACATAATATCTATATCCAGGTTGTTATGTGTGTAGAAGAGGGAAAAATGCAGCTACACTGTTTTTAGAATTTAAATGTCTGCAGAATACTGAAGTGTAATGAAAATATTCTGAAAAGGCTAAATCGGATGGACAGGTTGTGTAACTCAGAGATTGTCTTAGCCCAGTCACTTGCCCTGTGTTTTAATTTCTCCAGGACAAAATGCAAATCAAATTTCACTTAGCTTTTACAAGCTGCAATTGAAAACAGGAAGAAAATGTATAGCTATTTATCTGGAGGAAGGATTACAGTACAGAAAGAAGCAGCAGTATTTCCATATGGCCTCGGGAAGGGGTACGAACACTAGGAAGTTGAACAGACATTGAAGCTTTTATTTATTATTTGTGCCAGTGTGTTGGATGCTTTGAGCATTACCCTTCTCCATGCTTTCATCTTGTAGTAAAACAGATCACTTTTGTTTAATTACTCTGCAGGACAGCTTAATGACAGCTTAAGGATTTAACGATCTTTTTTTCATCTCTTCTTTGCAAAATAACGGAAAAATCAAGCCTTTGGGGAATTAATCTGAATTTTGTTGTTGTTTCAAAATCTGACGTGGTGGGTCCCAACATCAGAACTGCATAATATTTTCAAGAAAGTCAGAAAAAAAAGGTTCTTTTTGGTTCTTTCTGCTTGTGGAAGTAAGAAGTCTTGTGTTCTTGAACAGCCTGAAGGTGGGACAACTGGAGGGTGCTGCTGGGCATGTACCCGTGCAAACTTTCTCCAAAACTTTTCTTGCTTCCTGTATGATGCCAAGGTGCCAAGCTATCATGTGTGTACATTAGCATGTGCAAATGTAGGCTTCTTGGAGCACATAAATATTCCTCTTGCCTTTTCCCTGAATTCCTGAGTTATATTGCAATTAGATCTGCCAATCAGAGCATGCATGGTTTAACAGATTTAAATTGCATAATAGGGTAGCTCATACCTATTGTATATATGTGAAGTTTTGTTTCTTACCTAAAATAGATTTGGGTTTTAGTTATATCGTAATAGAAACCCTGAGACCACCCAAGCGATAATTTAATCTTGCTGAATTTACAAACAGCTAAATGAAATGAAGACTGTTGGCCCGAGATGGGCAGTTTCATCTTGGATGGAATTTGGTTGGAGCGGAGCCTTGCAAAAGTGAAATGTGAGAAAGTAACAGTAATTCCATTAGAAATCTGGAGTCCAACGGCAAAATAGTTTTTAGTGTGCCTTAAGAGATGTAATATGGGATGAGAAGAGTTCTGCAGTCCCCTGCGTGGACAAGGATCCTGTTATCCTTCATAGACTTGTCAAGTGCCACAATAAAATCAGTTTTATTTTATTTTTCTCAATCTTCCCTGGCAATTCTCCAGATTCTCCAGTGCTACCTCACCCCACGTGCAGACCCTCATATTTTATGGAAAGATGCAGTTTGCAGCCTTGTGTTGCCTAGTGAATAGGTACTGCCAGAGGTGTTTGCAATAGGAAGCTGCAGAGTTGGATGCTTTGAGGTGTTGCAGTGGCACGTGCCCAGTCCTTCCCATTTATTGCCTCGTCTAGGTAGTAAGTTTGGGTAAACCTGGGGAGAAGGGGATCATTAAAATGTTTTTCTTGTTTTCGCAATTTGGACTTTGTATGGAAGCACATCACTAGATTTGGCTCATTTTTTTTTTGTCTTTAAGCCCTTATGATCAAAATAACAGAAAGAATAAGAAGGAAAATGTCTTCCTGTTCCATCTGGTGCTGTGTTCACTTTAGTCGTTGCCTGTACAGAATAGTATGTGCAACTGCTGTCGAGCCAAAATGTAGCTGGCACTAATTAGTGTAGTTTTAAAGAAAAAAATGTATTTGGAGAACTTCTAAGTTTGGAAGTAGTGCCTATATCTGCCAGTCACCAAGTCAGACAAAACACTCAAATTTATACAACAAATGCATATTTATACAATAAATGCCATATATTTATGTAATAAGTGCCTTGTATTTTATAAAACATCTTTGCACATTTTTCTATTTGACAGTGTAATGTGGAACTTGACTGAATTGTGCTATGCTCTAAAGAAATGGGAAAATAGCCTTTTTAATGCTGTATCAATAGTATCTATTATGTAGACAGGAAGTATTTTTAGAATCTAGCTAAAGTTCCTGGAGTATTAAGACAGCTTCTCTCTGAGCTGTCTAAAAAAAATATTTGATTGCATCTTCAACACACATGAAAATAAGTAATATTTGGAAAAGAAGTACTCATTTACACTTAAAAATAGGCTGAAACAGTCTTGTAGAAAGCCACCTTTGACAATTTTTACCCGCAACATCTGCTGAGTAGGAGTTCCTCCAAAAATGTGCATTTGTCTAGAAGCTCTGATTCAGTGGGATGCTGAAGCCCCTTCACTGAAGCTAGCAGAGGAAAGGGAGGTTGGCAAAATGAGTATCAGGTAAGGTTTCTAGAGAGCTCTAATTGCAGTTCTACCCAAGGTAAAATTAATCCAAGATTTATTCTTGGATCTCATTATCACCCATATGGTGAGATACATAGTTCTCAGCCCTTTTATACCATCTTTAAAGTGATGCAAAGACTCATGCTACTTTGCTGTTTTGCTAGCCATTTAGTAGGCTTCAGGCAGTTCCATAATACTAGAAATAATACAGATACAATAATAATAGACTACTATATGGTATCTTGTATGTGTATATATACAGGCCTAACATTAGGCTAACAGACTAGACTAATAGAAACATGTGTAATTTCTATAAATGCATGACTTATTTCTCAGCTTGTAGAGATCCTATACTAAGTACGTGAAGATAGGAAATTAGGAGAGCCTGTTGTGTCCAGCTGCTTAATTATTTGTGTTCTGCTCAGACAAGAGCAGCATTTGATAATCCTAATGCTAATTTACTCCTAGGTCACTTATGGCTCCTTTGACTATACGTCATTGCTTTATCTGTCTGACTACGCTGAAGACTTTGGTGGCGGAAGGTTTGTGTTTATGGATACAGATTCCAACAAGACTGTCGAGCCCCAAGCAGGTAAGAGAAGACTCTTGCTTTGCCCACATTGAGGCAGACCAAACTGTGCCCTTTTTAACCTAGTGAGTAGTGGTGGAAGAACATGGCATTTTTTTTACTTTTTAATTTTTTGACTCGATAGAGTTATCTGAAGTTAAGCAGCACAAAGTGACTTCCTTGAAAGTTCTAGGGCTCAGAGCTGTGATCAAGTTCCGACAGCTTAACAGCTCCCTGTGGCGTAGAGAGCAAGATAACGGGGAACGTGCTTAAACTGCAGCGAGTGCAAGATAAAGCAATTTAGGCCTTTTGACCTAAGTTTCCTTTACTGCTCAAGGCAGGCAGACCTGACCACAGTTGCCTACAGAGAGGCAGGTTCTTTCTGCAGTGGGGTATGGATGGACAGTGACTCACTGAGCAGCAGTAGCGCTGGCTTCGATCAACTCTGAGAATTATCTGCGTTGTGGGGTTGGTATCAGCCCAGGTGTGTGTGGTTATCTTGTGATTGCAAATAAACGCTCATGAAAAGTATCTTCTCTTGCAAAATTTCAGTATTTTGGAACAGAGCAATTTAAACCAAGTTCAGAGCTGCAGTTCTAGGAGCCGTAGAGACCAGAGCCGAGTCCTGCGTAGCTGGGAGGGCGCCTGTCTCCCTGGCTTCTGCCCATTCCCTTTGATAGGGGCATGTGTGCATTTGCCCCGATTGCATTTGCATTTGCAAAACTGCATTTGCACCTTTTGAAAGGAGCCCCTGCCAAGCGGGCAGAGGAACTGCCTTTAGGAGAGGTGACATGTGGCATGTGTCCGCAGCAGCAGGGTTTTAATGCTGGTGTCACCTTCCATACCCCTTTGCCAAGCACAGGTTTTGGGAATCCCATGAGAATTTGAGTTTTTTTTTTTTTTTTTTTTCTTTTTAATGGCCATATCTAAGTTGCTACTGTCAGACCAGTTCACATGGATAGACCTTTGGACAGGGACAGCAAAGCCTGGCAGCAAAGTAAAGGGGACCCCTCATGTTTGACACCTGTCGGGTCTTTGCCTTTAGCTGGGGCCTCTGTCTGCTCCAAAAATTCATGGCAGCCAGAGAGTTGTCAGCTCCAAGTGAAATACTGTTTTAAGAGGAGTTTTTTTTTCTCCCCCATATAAAGATTAAGTTCTAAAGTAGTATTTGTTGTGTTTAAGTGCTCATTATTTCCGTTTCTCAAACTGCTGCATTGAGGTTTTGCTTTCATCCTTTGCTCCTTTAGTTCCCTCTCTTAAACTAACTCAGATGTGTTTTAATTCTTCCAGAATACAGGTTGGCAGCTCCTGTTTCACTGCATTTCACTGGTTTTATTTCCGTTTGACTAGTTGTTCTTGCCTGCCTGTGATTCTCGCTGTGCCCGGCGTGCTTTGCTGTTCTTGCTGCAAGCTGCCAGCCTTTCGGCTAAGCCTTATTTATTAAAAAAAAAAAAAAGAAAATCCAGTCAGTGATATTGCCTAGTGCCAGCAGACATAAATGTGTTTGTAACTGAATCTTCTGTGGGCTGTGTCTGGATTATGTTTTTATAGTGGACTTGTAAAAATGGGATTACATTCATATTGAAGTTAAATCAGATTCAGCAAATTTTAGAATCTAATGGTAAATTAGCATTTCAAGAGGGAAGCAGCTGTACTGATCCCACTGCTACAATATAGTCTTTTACAAAACAAGCATATTCTGTCTACTTCTTTTTCACTTTTGCTTTTTTCCCCCCTTTTTTCTTTTTTTTTTTTCCCAATAGCTAAGATTACAGTGAAATGAAAGTGCTTTTAACTGGCATAACTTTGTAGAAGCTGAAAAGCTGTTAAAATAAGTTATTGTTTTGGGAAATAAGAAACAAAAATATGACTTCAGGCCTTCTTTCCAGACAGGAGAGACTAATGCTCTTGTTTTGCAGATGAGCCGAGTTGCTAAGGTTTGGGAAAAGGGGAGCTTTGGCCTAGGGATGAAAAGAAATGGCACAAAAGTCCGTGTGTTTTATGACATTAAGTGGAGGTCGAACCTGCAGCTGGATTGAAATGGGCATAGCTGGGTTCCAAGTGTGCATGTACTATTTCTTTCTCTTCAAGGTGATCTTTACTGTGTTTGTTTTCAGCTTACAGACAAGTTTATTTTATATATTTTTTCTTTATATGAGGCTGGAGGGAAATGTTGCAATCGCACTGTGTGTGGAAGAACAATTTGTTTTGCAAACTGAATTCTGTGCAGTGGAGAATACAAACTGACCTTTCACTTGCCTTCCTTGAATAGCAAATCTAGCCTGTTTTCATGGCTGTCACAGGAAACTTACATTTCTGTAAGTGTAAAAATACTTGTGATGAAGGTATGAACTGTTTGGGAATCTGTGAGGTTGGACTGTCCTTTATTTGGACTGGAACCAGGTGTATGCTCAAAGCTTGAGCCTTTCCTCAGGTCCAGGGCCTTCAGGCTTTCTGTGTGTGCATTTCCAGATAGAGCTTGTGTTTTACTGCAGTGTTTTGTCAGATCCCATAATCACAAGAATAATTCCAGTATTCCAAGCTAAATAGTGGGGATTTGTCATATCTTTATTTAGTTGTGCTATTAAAAAAAAAGATTTTAGAGGAATTCGCTACTACATTATGAAGGGGTGCAGTGTTAAGACAGCAAACAGAAGGAATAAATGAATTTTCCAGAATTTAAGTCCCATGACAGCCTTAACAGAAGGTCCAAAGATTGTATTAAGCATGTATGTAGTGATCCAATGTATTAAGCATGTGTGTAGTGATCCAATGTGCTTTGTCACATTGGCCTGCCATGCTTTAAGAATTCATCTTGTACTGTGGACTGGTTAATTTTTCACCAATGATGATGGTTGCTTTGATCTTTCTCCACTTTGACTGTGAAAGATGTCTTGTGCCAGATAATCATCTGGCGTTGTGAACTTCAGGTTTTGTCCAATCAGCAAAACTGGAGCACATCATCCTGATGGCAGCAGTCATGAGCAAGAGGTAAGGACTGAGCAGGATTTAGAGGAGGAGGGGAAAAGAAAAGAAAAAAAAACACGCACAAATAGTTGTCAATATTAGAGAAGAATAAATGGAGCAGGCATTAGTCACTGCAGGACTAATCAAATATTATAATAATGCAAACTTTATTGATTCTAGGTAGGATGGCAGGCGCAGTAATCGCAAAGCAGTAAGAATTTTCATATGGCACTAAGGAGTTGATTACAGAGAAAAGGTAGGAAAAAGGGCTGTTGCAGAGATGACAGAAGTTAATCGAAGTGGACACATACTCCTCATTTCTGTGCACAGCTCTGAAGACTTTCTTCTGCTTTCCAAGGAAGGATAACTTCTTTCTGGATTCTGCTTACTCTAGTAGTGCTTGGTGATAAGTTTGTGATGATATTAAATGAATTAATCTCTTGTTGCTTTAAAAGCCCCGTTAGCCGAGACATTCAACTCAGAGCAGTGTATATGCTGCTCATACAGAAAGCTCTAACCTGTGGCAGGTGTCAGTTACTCGGGTTAGTAACGGTCATTTTATTTTAGCTGAACCACTGAAAGGGTCAAGCATGTGGCTTGGGTGATAGTTACACTGTCAATGTTGAAAATTGGCCTCTAAGGCTTTTCCCTGGTACAAAATACTTGGAGTTACAAATGAGCAAATGTAATAGAGCCCTTATTTGCTTTCCACTGCTTGCTGTACTTGTGTTTTATGCAATGCATATGCAGGCTGATATACAGGCTGATACAGTATACTTCAGTAATGATGGCATTTTGCTTCTTTCTGGTTCCTAAGCTTTGTGACCATTAACGTCACACGCTAGAGGTGCTACCATGAACTGTTTCTCCTCAAGGAATATTTTTGGAATGAAAAATGAGCAGAAGTTACCCTTGGACTCCCCTTGAGTAAATTATTTTGTGAGGATGAGGATTCTCCATCAGAAACCGGCAGTCCACATCTGGGACATCTTTGTGCTTTGACCACAGCTCAACTCTGGTCATGCTATGGCTAGCAAGGTCAAGGAAAGTTAAATACATGATCCAGAGCTAATGCAAGGGCCTGAAAGTGCTACACCTTGTTCCTAGAGCCTTCTCTTGGTACCTTGTTGATGAAGTTGGCAATAAGTTAGAAACCTTCCTCGGCTGTCTGCTGTGCTCCAAAATGGGAGAAACAGAGCGGATTGGGATTGGGAACCGAAGGGGAGAGCTGGAAGGCAGAGCGGAGGCGATATCCCTGCGCTTCTCCCCCTAGGCACAGGGCAAGGAGATGGGGCCGAAAGGCTGGGGAGGCTCCAGAAGGCTGAGGAGGAGGCAGCACAGTTAGGCCGTTTTCACCTCCTGGTCCTCCACAAGATTTTTAAACTTCCAGAAATAACACAGGAAGCAGAAACTACAGGTATTTTGAGCAACCAGCTGTGCTGATGGAAGAGAGGCTGGCAGGGGACTGCTGGATTGTAAAAATGTTCATGTACTTTTAGTAGAAAATGATTAAGCTGTTAATTTATTTAAAAAACTGTAATTTAGAAGTTTTCAGTCCAGGTACTTCTGAATTTAAAGTTCATTTAAAAGTGTTGATAATGTTTTAGCAAATTACAAAGCAGCAGAGAGTGTTCACTGTGTTAATCACTGATTTTCTTTATAACATCAAGTAATTTCTCCATCTCCTAAGTGAATTTGGAAAAACTTTTAAACTGGTCTTTGTTAGATATCTGCTGGGGCTTGATTTCTTTTTAGACCTTCATGCTTCTGCAGCAGGCGTGCTTTTCATCTGCGCCTGTGGGGAAGTGGCTAGAGACATTTGCTCTCCCTTCTCGCACAAAGATCTGCAGAACATCCTGATGGCTGCCCTTGAGGTGAGACCCCTAAACCTGGTTTATACTTGCACCATATCCAGCCTGGCAGAACCGTGACGTGCAGGCAGGGAGGAAGTACGAGCCAATGCTCCTTCATTCGCTGTCTTAGTGGGTTGATAATTTTCAGCACTCCTTCCCGAAAGGTTTCCACTTCTTTAATGCGGCATTATCCAAAGGTGCTGC